AACCTTGGAGTTCAGGTGACCACTTGAAGCCATGAAGACACCCTCCCTCCTCCACAACATCGCTTGGCTCTAGCATCTCCTTCTAGGGACTGGGGGCCCCCCTCTAACCCAGGCTTTGCCACCTCCAGTGGTCCCAGTGAGCCAGCCCAGCCCCAATAGCGGGGCCAGATGAGTTTTTTCGGGCTAACAGCAATATTTAACCTTGTTGTAGTCATTAACCCATCATTAACTGCGTGCAGAGGCTGAGCACCTCCATGTGCACCTTCCCAAGCAGGATTTGTCACCTCCCTACACCATACGCAGCACCAATCCACAAAGCCACTTCTGACACAAGGTTCACTGAAGGGAAACCGAACCTGAGCTGCGGCCGGAGACCATCACTAGGAGCGTCTGACTTTGGACGTGCAGTCATTCGCTATTGGGTTGCTGCAACCTATCGCCCTCCTAGGAGTCACGAGAGCTGCAGGGCTCAGACATCTCTGAAAAACACCCGTAGTCTAAAGAGCAACACGCAGGAGTGTCAAGGACAGTTTTGCAAGAACATGAACATCTGGTCCGAGTTAGTGACTCGGTGGCAGAATGAGCAACAAAGCTCTGCTCTCTGCCCCCAGACCTGGGCTAGCAGGAGGGGCAGAACGTGCCTTAGGCTCAGCAGGTGCCCTGGGGTCCCTTCCTGTCCCCTCTGTGGTCCTCAGGTGGCAAACAGGTGGATTGAAGAAGCCCAGGAGCAGCAGGATGTCCGCGGGAAGGACGGATTCCCACACGGTTCCTGCCATCGGCTGGCTCACTGGGACATGCCGCTGCCCCGGCGGCCCCGGATCCGCGGTGGGACGAGCGCCGGGGCAGCTCCCTCTCGCCCCGCGGGGAGGCTGCAGCCCCCTGGGGCTCCGCACAGCGACCTTGGGGCTGGGGAAAGAGGGGCCAAGAGGCGGCAGAGACCCCTCTTTGCCCCCGTCCTGGCGCGGGCTGAGGCTGGATGCCGGGACGCTGCTGGGCGCGCGACGCCAAGGACGGAGCTGCCCTCTCTTGGGAGAGGAGCCGCTCTGCAGCGGCCACCGAGGAGCCCGGCCAAGGGCTGCTCGTGCCCGGCCGGACGCAGCCAAGGAGGGCTCAAGGGAGCGGCAGAGCCCGCGGCTCCGGAGCGCTGCCCGTGGCTCCCGAGCGCTCCTTGGCTGGCTTTATGGGCCGTCCCCTGCGCTGCGCTCACCACAGGGCACAGCTCCCTCTCTCCCGGGTCCATTGCGCTCTGGATCCTGCAGAGCTTTTTGCAGTCACAAAGAATAAACCCAATGGAGCAGGTCCCCCTCTTCTCCTTCCCCAGACCAGCCCACAAAACCCAGCAAGGCAGCATCACATGGGAACAGCGGTCCTGAGCTGTGCGGATTAGACCTCCACGTGTGACTCCTATGGGCACTGCATGTAGTTGGAGCTGCCACTTCCCAAACTGGAAGGGAGAGGGAACATCTTTTTTTAAATGCATTTCTGGGCAGCTCTGTGTCCTGCATTTACTTCTCCTGAAGCAGGCGGTGTGCACGCGGGCTGGGGGGATCTTTCCATGCCTTGACCAGGGCGAGATGCCGCAAGCACGTCAAGAAAGAAGCAGCAGTTATTTGTTTTTACATCGAGCTAGAGGAAAGAACCAGCGAGGGTGCTGCAAAGGCCACCCCAGCTCCACGTCCCCTCTCACGTAACCTCGTCCTCTCCGCTCTCTGCTGGCGGCTACAGCCCGGCCGCCCTCCTACTGCAAGGGGCTGTTGTGCCCCCATTGTCGCCAAAGGGAACACGGGTTAATAAACTGGGAGAACAAGTCACGTCCAGATAGCAAGGCCGCACTGTCACCAAAGTGACCAACATTTCCTGCAAATTAGGGAAAATGAGAGGATTACCTTAAAGCTGTAACCACATAAAATCATCTCCCGGGAATGGAAAGCAGGAGACACTTTACAAAAACATTTCTACAAGGGCTCCGGGTTGCTTTTGGCCACCACAATTCATGTTTTGGCCACCACAATTCATGTTTTCTGGCACTCAGTCTGGCTAATGTTCCCGCAGAGCAGCAGTTCATCTGCCAAGTCGTTGCTGCGTGCTCGGCTCTGTCCCCCGAAGCCCTAGGACAGGCAGGAACAGGGGACCAAAGACCAGCCCTGCCCGGGGCCAGGTTTCCACAGCTCTTACCCACAGCTTGAGCTGACCCCGGTACGTGACACGGGGACACGGGTCCCCTCTCGCCAGGATTAGGTACCGGGAAAGCAGCAGCTCGAGGCTGCTTGGGATGTAAGCGGGGGGACAGAAAGAAGGGGCACAGCGGTGTCACCCCAAAGCCCCTGGGCAACCCCCGCTCCCTCAGACAAGCCCAGCAACCTTCCGATCACAGTCTGTGATCAGCGACTACGGGGGAGAAAAGAACCGCAGCACTCGGTGCATCTCTGCAGCCGTTACCGCTTACTGCACGGCAATCGGGTATACTACAGTTTTACACTCAGTATAATGGGGGGAAAAAACACTAACAAGCAGGATAATGTAAAATAATTGATTTTATTTAAAATAAAAAGCAAAAACACAATCATCCAAACAAGACAATTAACAGTATCCCAGCTCTGCTGGATGGGGTGATAAAAGCATCTAATGGCAGGGGCAGGGCGAGGGCTGACAGTGTGACTGTCACCAGGACCAGGGAGCTTCCCTTCCCTCCCGCTCTGAGGGGAAGGGCAAAAACTCACCCCAGGAGCAGCCCAGGGCGCTGGGGGCTCGGATCAACCCGCAGTGCTGCCTCCTGCCCTATGGTGCGGGGGGTTCAGGAGAAAAAGGGTCTAGGTGAATTCGGGGGGTTGCTGCTATCTAAGCGTTCGGGGAGGCTTAGTGTGATGGAGAGGACAACCTGGAGAGGCCACAGCGCGAGTGGGGGCCGAGGAGCCCCGGGACCCTCCGGCCACCTCCATCCAAGCACTCCAGGGCTCTGCGGGGGACGGGGACAGACCCAAGGCCTCGCACGGGGAAGAGCCAGCGCTGGGCCCCTGTCGCCAGCACGGAGCTGGGCACAGCGCTGGATTATTATTATTTCTTCAAATCCCTGCACAGGCCTGGTTTGCAACAAGAGCCTCTGAGAGATTATAGGGACCTTCCTATAAGGCCAGGGAGGCCAACTCCCTTACAGGGGCTAACTCGCCTGGCCCACTTGAGAAAAACCCTGATGGAGGAGGACGTCCTCTTTAGGTCAGGCCACAAAATGCCACAGTTAAGCTCTGGTGAAAACAAAGAGTTTCCTTTAGACACAGTTTGCACCCTACGTGCCGCTTTGAAGGGGCTGCTATGGAACCAAGTGCCCAGAAGCGCGTCCCAATAGAAGCTAATGCCAGTTCAGAAAGTCACAGCTTGCCTCGCATTTCTGGTGCACTTGCTGCAGGAGGAGCACTTCAAAGCAACTTACACAGTAACTACATTTCAGCCTCACAACATCCCTGCGAGGTAGGTATTTTTCCACCTAATAAAACAGACATAAGCCCACCAGGGCAGCAGAGGGAACAGCCTGTGAGCAGAAGAACCAGAGATCCCAGGTGTCCCAATTCCCAGGACTTGGGAATACCTTGTTTCAGGTGAGAAAGTGCCTCGTGGATACGTCGTACGGTGTTGCTGGGACTCCAAGGCCTGCCGCTCCTTTCAGACCCACCGCCTCTCGGGAAGTGATGTCAAACCAACACAGGCTTCGGTTCCAAACGGTTTTATTTCGCACTACCGAAGAGTTCATAGGCACAGAGGAACATTCTGCAGTCTGGATCTTCCCCCGTGCTCCCGACGGAACAGGCACGGCTTTCCTGGCACCGCATGGTGACGGTGGGACAAAGTTGCAACCCTGCAGGCCCCAAGCAACGTGAGGCCACCGCAGAAGCCACCTTACCTTAGCCAAACTGCCAGGACACCGAGGATGAGGCGGCCTTGCTCAAACCGCAGCCGGTTGCTGAACAGAGCTCCCCTCACCACGACAGTGGCAGAAACATCTGAGCCTTTCCCAATCCAACCCTATTCTCTTCCAAGAAGCAGCAGTTGTAGCTCGCTCTACCTGACGAGGACTATGTGCTTTGTACAGGCTCCTGGGCTGTTGAACCGGGCAGAAAAGAAGGCAACCTCGGCCAGAAGTCTGGAAGTTTCCTTCAGGCAGAAGGCTCGTTCACACCTGGCTATCCCCAAGACACTCAAGAGTCCGGACAACTAAGGAGAAGACCAATAAACCTTCCCTCCTTCCAGCTTTTCCACCATTACGCTGCTTCTACGTGAAGTGATTAGCACAGAATACTCAGCAACAAATCCTGACAAATATAAATAGGGTTCCTTTGTAAAACATCCTATGGCCTGGTTTCCAAAAAGGGAGAGGGGTTTAAATAGGACAAAAAACAAGGTTAAAAAAGTTAAAATGGAAAGACCCAAACAAGCAACATTGTGGGTTGTATCCGATCCAACGTGTGAGAGTCACGCTCAAGGCTGCCCGCAGCAGCTGGGCACTCCTGCACGTTTGCTAGACAGACACACGTCCCCGGCCAGGCTTCCCTTGCAAACAGCAACGCGGCGCTCTCGCGTCCTCTCCTCGGGCAGGAGGGCTCGCAGGGAAGCGCCCCAGCACAGGATAGGGAACCATCTTCTAGCAGGGCAGCTGCAGCAAGACCAAGCTCTGCTGACACCACCACAGCCCCTGCTTCAAAACTTCCAGCACATCCCTTAGGGACAAGGGCTTCACCTGGCACAAATTCATCTACACAGACATAAAAATCACTTTTTTTTTTTTTTTTTTTTAAAGGATCATACAATATGTCCCCCTCCCAGACCTTTAAAATTGGCACCACTAATTCTGGAAATTTCTGAAGTCACAACCTCAAAGAACCATTTGTGTGTGAACTGCACTAGCCTGAAGAAGCCCATGGCACTGTAACTGCTAGGTATGTAAAGCCCAGCAACGGCTGCTACTATGTAAGAGTCAACCTGCCAGTTATTGACTAGCAATGAACATGACCCCAGCACCCTAAGGCTGTAACTACTGGCAACTGCTGACTGTTTTGCTGTGCAAGAAACCCCAAAATTCTCCTGTTCCCTCAGGCTTTCAGTAGCAAGGTGCTAGTGCATCTTTTGTTACTACTCACCAACACAGGGCAAAAGTAAAAGGGCTGTTGCTGGTTAAGGTGTTGCACCTTATCAACTACTCAGGCTAGTCGAGATGCATGCACGTAGATTAAGACCACAAGAGATGCTTCAGATAGGTGGTCACCTCCACTGAAGCTACCTCAGTGTTTGAAGTATTCCTACCACCTTCCCGTCCTGAAATTTCGGTATGAGATCCGTCGGACATTCAGACAGGCCAGGAGGGCTGGTGTTCCTTTCCTCAAGTGTACAGGACAACATGTAAACATATGACAGTGTCAAAGCAAGGCAGGTTTCTAGATCTACCTGCTGTTTTTTTTTTTTAAAAGAGTTCTTTAAAAACTGACCGTTGTCTTCCTTGCCAGTTATGTGAGCCAGTAAATACTTGGCGTGTCCTTACCCGAGGCTGGGCAATTAGTGCACTCACTTGGGGCGCGGAGGGGACAAAGCATTGCACAATAACGTAGAATCGGGGCATTCCCCTGCAAGTTAGCGAGGAGCCAACCTTCCACAGTACGTAACGAAGACAGATGTTTGGATCGAAGTGATAAAAACTTAAGGACCATGAGAAATAGGAGCAGAAGGGGGAAGAACAGAGCTGGCTGGCTGCTAACGGAGCCAGCTGCCTCTAGACGGGTGTTCTTATCGCTCAGGGGTAAGTGCGGCCTCCACAAGATTCCCTAATCCTGTCAAAAAAAGTACAACTGCCTGTCAACAACTATAGCATTACCCTTCATACCGTGACACAAGATCGCAGCATGCAGGTTAATCTTAATATTTTTTTCGTCTCCTGTAGAATTTGCACAAGTTATGATTTCATATTTGGAACTGTTTCTATTAACTAATCCATCATATAGCTGGAGCAGAAATCCCACCCATCTCCAAGACATACAGGAAGAACAACCATCAAAAATAATGGGGGAAAAAATGATGAAATCTGAAAAGGAAAGGTTCTAGACAAGATGCTAATATTTAAAGCATTCTATATTCATTTCACTGTCTAAAGTGCAAAGACCTTAAAATACTTAGGCCTTTCAGAAGTGCACAACTGTATATGTGGTCTGCAATTTAAATATACTGAAACAAAAACCAGGGTCTGCATTAATCTTCACTAGCTCCTGCGGCTGCTTCCCGGCCTGGAGTTGCAACCAGCTGCTGAAAAATGAGTTGGTAACATAGCAGTAAGTTGTTAAGACCTCTACACAAGATGAGCAGTCAATACAGGTCCCACCAACTGTCTCAGGGTGCTCTGTACTTCTAATTTGATTGTATTCAGTTATGAGCAACTCCTGAAAGCGAGAGAACACTATATAGCAGCAACATAAATGCTCAAAATAGGAGCAAACGGGGCTGTTGGCAGCGCCCCGCACCGGGATGTCAGGCCTGCTCTTGGCAGCCTGGGCTTTCTCAAGTACCCGCTCGGTCACAATATTTATTTGTGGACGTTTTAAGTCTGAAGCAACCAGCAGACCAAGAGCCTGACAACACCCTGCAGAAGACAGGCAGCTAATACAGCAGCATCTGTTAGCCATGCTGAGAGGAGCAAACTCAAAAGCTTAAGCAAGGCTCTTCTATACGAGAGAAATGCTTAATTTTAGCAAAGAACTGCTAAGTTTCTCCCACGGAGTACACTGGCAAATACCTAGTTTTTAACCTGGCCAGTTCAGGGAATATCTTTCTTCAATAATTTTATTCCAAACAACTACCTCACTTCAGTTCTTCAGCCCCAGATGACTAAAAAAAAATCTTTTTATTTTCAAATAGCTACATGCTGGGGAGGTTGGATAAATTTTGTCTTTAATGCATAGAGCAGTGGACCAAATTGAAATTATCCAGGTAACAAGAAAATAAGAGAAACTCTATTGCTATTTGAAGTGTCCAAAGCCAAGTCTGATCATTCCTCATGTTTAGCTATTTACTATTCTCTTGTACTCTGAAGGGCACAGTCAAAACCTTGCATCTCTCCCATAAAAAAAGATAAACTCTCTATTAAAAGAGACAACTAAGAAAAGTAATAAAACCGTTTATTAAATAAGGTAAAAGCTCATTTAAAAAAATACCAAAATCTTAAAGTTTTCTGTTTGGAGCAATTAAAATAATTCCTGGGAGGTTATCACCAACAGTTTCACATTCTGTACGGGACTCTTGCTCTCCAGCTCTCTATCCTGATGAATCCCCCTATCTCACTGCTCCCAGCTCTGCCTTGTATCGTCTTTTGTTCGTTAAAAATAAGAGTTGCCATCAGGTCACCTGGAGGAGCTGCGCTCTTTGCTCACACAGTCATCCTGGGACGTTGTATCACCGTTCCCCACCATGCTACACGTCCGCCTCTTTTTCCTCCGATGCATCATTCCCTCTGTCTCAGAGCCAGAGTCACACTGAAGCATGAAGAGAAAAACAAATAAAAACAAAATTAGAATTAAGTGAAATTAGAGAAGCTTAGTAAATTGTGTTTGTGCTACAAAAATAATCGTAAGAGCTATCACAATAGTGCTGAATAACCAGAAGTTCAAAGAACATCAGGTATTTTAGATGTGACTCTAGGATATCAATTTAAAATTAAGGAATCTAAAGCGTAGAGCCATCCAGGCTCTTGAACATAGTCAAGTTTCACTGCCTACAGCAAATTCTGGATAACCTGTGCATTCACTTTGCCTGCTTTAAGGACCTCAATTTATGGATGCAGACTTGGTAGTTTGAGAGGCCTGTAATGATTTAAGCATTTCGAAGGGCCACCTAGAGAAGTCCAGTGTCACAAGTGACATTGTCTCCCTCCTCATTTGCAAAACAGCAGTTTTGCAGTCAGTTCAGATAAGACAGCATAGCTAAATTAGTGATTGATTCACGTTATGTGTGTATACATAGATCAAACAAGACAAATTTATTTAGCAATAAAAGATAGCCTTTAGGAAGCAGAACTTGCTGAGAACAGAATCCTCCACTAGGCACTCCCTTTATTTGCTTTTTAGTCATTTCCTCCATGATATGTGAACATTAGGACATGGATCTTTATTAGAGTTGATTCCCATGCTAGCACAAATAAAACAATAAAATTGTAGAATACAGACCAGGTAGTAAAAATCTTACCTCTGAATCGGAGTCTGAGGAGCTAGAACTTGAAGAACTGGAAGAATCACTGGAACTATCAGAAGCAATACCAGTAGATTCCTGTAAATCAACTGAATCAGCCAATGCTGCCAAGTCAGGATGTTCCTGCTTTAAGATCCTAAATAAAATTGAAATTTTGGGGTTAGCCTTCGAGCAGTAATGCCGCACAAAAACCAACAACGTTTATGAAGAACACGGGAAGGAAGTTACCAAATCACTCACCTGTACCATTTCCGTGATAATTTGGGCCTCCCTCTTACCGTCTTGTGCCACACGACAGGGAAGTTGGTACAGCTGGCAAAGTTTTGCGTGATGGCAATGGTTGTGTCGAGGTTGAGGACTACATGCCACCAGCCACCTGCAAATACAACACCAGTGACCATCCCAGCTATAGAGCAGAGATTATGTTTAAAAACAGCCACAAATACTTCTCCCACCTGTTACAAAACCCTCTGTTCAGCTCTCCCCTGTGCTATAGTCAAACTATAATGTTACTGCATTCTCACAAATTAGAACACAGTCCAAGTTGCCCACAGCAGAGGTGGAAATTGGACCTCATCTCCCAAACAGACAGGTCTATTGCTAAATCTTCCTTCTTCAGTTACGTTATGGAATCCACTGTTAAAGAGGGCTGCTCAATGCTCTGACCAATTCTCCAGCTCACACAGCACACTACAGACCTGACTTGACAGCAGCACATTGGCTACTGACAGTTTATTTAATAGCAAGTGCCACTGGAACGCAATCTGCGCAGAGATCCTTGGTTAAGCTGGACAGCACTCTCCATGCTGATTTAGTAAGGTTTTTATGGTTAGAGACTAACCTTCCATTTAAAAACAAATACGAACTGTTTCCCCACACGAGATTGAGGAGGAAAAAAAAAAAAAAAAGTCATGCCATGTTCTTACAACTCACTTTTAACCCCAAAGAAAAGACTAAAGAAACAGTTTAATGGAAGCAGACAGTTAAAAAATCTTAACAGAAGGTACAGTGAAGAGTCACTAATAAGTGCCAAGATGATCACAAGGCGCTTTTCAAACATGAAGTCATCTGTATCTGGGAGACAAGCAATGTGGAAAGCGGCGATATGCCGTGCTGCACAAAAATGATGCGGGATTTAGAGGACAGGCACCGAGTTCACCCACTTTATCCACTAGCCACCCCACCTCCCAGTAATAACAGGCACATAGGATCTGGTAAGGTTACTATTCTCTTAGGTTTCTCCTTTCAACTGCAAGATTAGGCCTAGTCTCAGGAAGTGGGTGAAAGGTGTCACTGCCTTCAAGGAGGTCTTTCCAAACACTCGAGGAAAAAAAAAAAAAATATATATATATATATAGGCAGTCAGGCTACCAAGTATAAAATCCACTCATGAATTTGCTATTCTGTATGCAGCCTGAGAAACTTGTGCAAGAGCTGCTAGAAATCAAACACTTTCATTCTTTTATGCCTCAGTGTTCTCCTACTATCATAATTTTGTTTATGATCACACTTTAGGACATAGTTTATTGCATCTTAAGTTTTCTCTGACATCTCTACCATGCACAGTTCTATGTTACTGGTCGCTTATGTTTCAGGGTGATCAGAAAGTAACTGAACAATCTCAGAGAGGGCCTCATAACTTGCAACCCTTTTTAAGCAGCTCGAATGAGAGTTTTTTGCCTAAGATGAGCCATAACAGCAAGCTGCAGTCTTGCCTTCATCTCTGCTACATGCATGTAAAAATACGCTTTTCTCTTCCAGATTTCCTTCCTGGAGAGAGCTGTACATACCTGGCACAAAGACTGTCTCGCCTGGTTTCTGTAAGATCTCCAGGGGTTTGAACTCAGGGGGCCAGGTGGAGAGCTGTGTCCTAGGATAGATGACATTGAACCAGGTGATGGCTTCATCCTGCTGGTTCCCTCCCTCTTCTCGGGTCACTTTGATCAGCTCTCGGGGAGTGCTGGTGGGGAAGAGGCACCAACGCTTATGGCCCTGGACTAAGGCATTCCAAGCACTAGTTCCCAAGGGATCAATGTGGATTCCTGTTCCAGAACGAGGTGGGCCCATCACAAACCATCTGCAAACAAGAGGAAAACAAACAAACAAAAACACCTTCAGTCACCTTCGCTAATCATTTTCTTTCACATTAGTCACATATTTGCAGCTGTTAATTTGAAATAGTCAGAAACCAAGAGAAATAATATAGCTAAGGTATCTTCATTTGCATTCTTGAAAGAGTCAGTGGCAAAACTACATCAAAATAGATTGTTATATTAAAACTACAACAAAAGATACAACTGTTTTAAGCCAAAAAACAACAAAAATCGTGACAGGAGTCACTCTGGGCCAAGAAACTGGAGATGACTTTTAGAACAAAGTACAGCTATGAAGAGTAAGTAGTTCTCCAATAAAACATACACGATTTCAAGATTTAGTAGGAATCTTCATGAAGGTGATTAAGTCATAATTGTCTGCAGTAGGAGTCTTATGAGGTGGGAGGTTCTTCTTTATCCTATATTTTTTTCAAATTTGTTGCTCCTAAGTGGAACAAAAACTGCAGAACGAGCAACAAGAGGCGACAAATAAGAAATACAACGAAGTTGCACAAGTCCTGCCACCCTCTGTGCCTTCTGTTCATTTACAGCAGCCTTTTCACTGCAACTGTTAGCTAGTAAGGGCTTATATACCAACGAGCAGACAGGATCTGCTCTTTATCTTTTCATTCCCTACTTAAAAACGCTATTTCTCCCTATACAGTACTTAAGCTGCTATAGGCATTTAAAAGTAACAGCACCTCTGACTGCTCATTCTCTTTGAAATAAAAGAGTAAGATCTACCATACTAGATAAATGGGGATAATTGAGGCGATGTCTTACCATACATTAAGAGGGAAAAAAAAGGGAAATAATTCTTAAGTGGGCAGCTAAGAAGATAGAAACTAAAGCACCACAAATTTGAGTCTTCTTCCAAACAGATCCTTCCACTGTGTGGCAGACAGTCAGAAAGTCAAACGCTCTCCACTCCTCTCCTCCTATACAGGGGTAAGTAAAGTAATTTGCAAGCCCTGATTATAGCACTGTAATTTGGCTTTCAAGCTGTGCTCTTGCTACTTCACAAAAGTCATAAAAACGCGAGCAAGCAGGTGCTTGTCTGCTCTATTGTCAGTTCAATCCTTGATCCATATTAGCTTTGGAAAACAAATTAAGTAAGAGCAAGACAAGAGTTTTTATTAATAAAATTACAGGAAGTTGAACATGTTCAGGCCTGTCTCGTGAAGGAAGAGATGAACTGTTCAAAACTCATTTTCTGACTACAAACTCAATCTACACACACAGGCATTTAGCAATACTATAATTTACCACTATCTTTCCTCACGTGTTTACAATAATAAGCCAATGCAATCCAAGTCCTCAGATTTACTGTTAGAAACCTCTCACATTAAAAATAAAACAAACAAAAAAACAATGACCTGCCCCACACACACACAACTTGGTCATTTCCGTATAAGACGGTAAGTTTTAGAAGATGTTATTTGAAAATGCAAGATGATTTAAGTATCCTGAATTCCCGTTTTAAAATCTCTACACCACATCTCGCAGCCCTTATAGTGTCTGGCCTGATCATACGGCTAGACTTTTTGTTAAGTTCCCAGTTATGCTGCTAACTGCCAAATATTCATCTGTTTCTTACCTTGACCAAGCCCATAGCCCAAAGAGGCATCAATGTCCTTTCCTGCATCACTCCTCCCTCAGAAACAGGGGCAGCCTCAAACAAATATTTTCAAATAAATAAAACAAAATAATTCTGGGGATACTACGATCACAAGCAAGGAACTCAATGCGCATGTGGGTGGGGAGGGGGAAAAAATATCCACGAGAGTCCTAACTAGGAAAACTAGATAGTCTGGAACTTTGGTAAGTGAACATCCACTTCCCAGATGGGACAAATTTCTAACAGACTGTGCTTTAGTGTTTGCCCAGAGCACTGTATGCTCTTTCTTAGAGGTGAATGATGAACACGTTCCTGTTACAGCACTGTAAAAACACCAGTTTCAGTGGTTTTGAGAAAGTTTCCACACTTTATTCCCAAAAAACTTACAGCTGGACTATAGACACATGACGTGACAGACTGCAGGGAGGAGGCGAAGCAGAATATCATGTTGATAACTCATTCTATTTGATTAGAACAGAACATCACCAGGGCAACAGAAAACCTCCTAGCCCCGTGTCATTCAAAGGGCAAGCCATTCTCTGGCAATTATAACACTCTATGGAAAGACTTTAATTACTTGGGAAGCAGTTAGTGCTTATACTGTTATGAAGAATAATATTAACATAGATAAATATCGGTTTTGTATCTAGCAGGCTGAATCCCAGGTAATTACATTTGACTGTAGGAAGAAAGTGTCATTTCAACTAGAGGTTTCCTGGGTTCAACTAGATGCTGAAAATGGATGGAAAAGATTATGTAAATGCAAAATAAATACTGTTCTCTGTCAACACCATCTGCAGGGGAGCTAACTACTCATCTCCACACTTCATACATAATTTTAAGATCTTTACCTTAAAATGGCTGACTCATAATTAAACAAAATCCCACACTATACATAAGTCATAGGAGCAAAACTCATGAGTTTGACTTGAGGTACTTAGGAACTTCAAAACCATAAGGCACGTCATATTCATCGAGAAATTAACCTGCACAATTTTCAGTAATGACTCAATTATTTTAAACCACGTAGTGTGGCTAATGGTCTTGGCTTCAGGAGAAGAAAAAAAAAAAAAGTGACACAGGGAACTTGCAGTTTTTTGTGTCACAGTTTTGGGTTCTGCTACCAATGGTGCTACATCTCTCTCCTTCTAGTTACTGATGTAGGCTCATCTTACAATAACAGATCTAAAGCAATTGCTCTATTTTATAGAAATCGTGTCCATCCAGAAATAATCAACAAGATGGAAAAAAAAAAGAAAAAAAAAAAACTAGTTTTATCTTGTTCTGGCTATACTATACCTGTAAGGTGGCCTTCGCTTTTCTCCTGCATACTGAAAGAGATCATCAGTGAAGAATTTGGGCACTTTGTAGTCCTCCAGGAGTTTCCTACGCTTGGGATGCTCTCCGTAACTGCTGTCAAAGATGTAGAGCGGGCTGTCATCACGCGTGGTCTCCATGTACTCTATGTAGTATTTCATCTTCATCTTCACAGAATAGCCATCATTGTCCTCCCCACATTTGAACTTCTGGTTCCTATACTTGCGTTTGAGGCGTTCCAGAGTCCACTTCTCCCGGGCAGACCAGCCTGCCTGAGCATTCAGTAACACTACAGGCTTGTACGGTTTCTCGTAGCGCTCAACAAATTCTTCCACCGTTAACTGGAGTGCATCTGCCCTTTCCACGTTATCCTGTGGAGGCAAGAGAAAAAATAGAGAACTATCAGGACCGACGAACATCCCGGTGCTGCTCTCCCTAAATAAGCACCTCTTGCTCATACTTTGTGCCAAGGACTATGAGGGTTTTAAGCTGCCTGTGTGTTATTTTAAGCTCCCCCCGGCCTGCTGTGCTGCTTCTCCTGCTCTTTACACCCCTCAGCAACCGGGGCGGCTGCTGGTGCTTGGCGCTCCTCCTGCTGGGGTCATTCCCAGGCACCTCTGCCCTTTCAGCAGACACTTTCCCTGCCCGCTGCCTTTCCTCCTCCGCCAGGACCGCTGGCTGCTCCCCCAGTGCCTGCTCTCCAGAGAGCCCAAGCTGGGCGCCTGGGGGCTGTTCGGGAGTTACATAGGGCTCCCAAAAGCAACTCTGGGGCAAAATCCACCTCAAGATCGGGGTGCTGCCCTCACTCCCGGCAGCTCCAGCCCTCCCAGGCTCTACGCATCCCCTCCACATAGGGTCTCCCTGCTCTGCCCAGGCTCCCCATTTCACACAACCCCCATTATGCCCCCAGCTCCTGTTCCCTTCACCCTCCTCGTTCCCCATAGCCCCCTGCATTCCCCATGGCCCCCCCCCAAGACACCCCCCCCCCCCGCCTCCCACCCCCCC